TTGATCAGGATGCTCACCAAGATTTGTCCGGTTACGTTTAGATCGTAAACTTAATGAAAAATAGATTTAACTACCACTATATATAGCATATAATTAAATCGTTAGTAAAAAAATAGTCCCGGGACACAAAATGTTTATAGAAATGCTTAGAATGATGTCTTGCCTGCAAACCTAGACTTAATTCAACAATTTAATAGATGCAAAAAATAGTGCTTTCCCAATCAGATGAACATGTATGGCCTTGTCGTGCATATCGAAACGTCTCAAGGCAGAAGCACACTTTGTCTCGACAGCTTGAAGCCAATTAGTTATCCATGATTGAACTGAACTGGTAAGCGTTGTTGAATGCGTTGGTCCCTAGCATACCAGTAATAGATCAAAGCAAAAACACTTTGGGGAAACTAATAGACAAACGGCAACTGTTGGCAAGAGTAGTGGCACAAACCTCGAAGAAGAGGTCGTTATGTTGGTGGCGTACTAAGACTCGTTAACTGTGCAAAGATGGCGCAATGGAACTTTGCTAAATTCACTCGACGTATTTGATGTCCGTGAAGAATGAATACAAAAGTAGGTGGCTGATGGAAATTAAAGTTCGCCAGCATCAACCAACCGGACGACCCCGTAGGCAGCCAGATGAGTCAAGGTAGCGTTTAGTTCCAGGTCAACTGAGTCGGTGTGCCAGACGGGGATTGGACCAATTGGGACCTGACCAAAGTAAAGCGAGAACAAGATAAAGGCGGTAACTGCAATGCCCACAATGATCACAAGTCCAATGTTGAGCAATAGACGAGAGGACCAAGACTGATGCAGACTAGTTATTTTTGCCATTCGGTGCTTCTGTTCCTTCAGGGCCTGTTCTAACTCTTCCACCGAGACCAAGCCTCCTGCAGAGCTGTCAGCCTCTGCGGCCAGACGCCGAGAACACCAAAGACCGGAACAGCAAGACGAGTCTGGAGGACATGGTCTCATTTTGAAGCCAATGAGCCAAAGGCCAAAGTGATTAAGGTGAGAAATCAGTCGTCTGATCCGTCCTGTCTGAAGACAGGGACCACTCTGCTGTTGACGACCAACTTCTGGTTGACAAAGAAGAATGGATGGAATGATATTTAGACATAAAGTAGTAGCTACATAAAATAAGGGTGGTTTAGACAACCGATAACGCGATTGGGTTAAGGGTTAAGCATGTGTGGGTGACCAATCGTTTTACTGATCAGTTAAAAGGATCACAAACTGATAAATTAAGGTGATTAGTAGCAAAGATGGATGCATTTATCCATCTATCCGAATATGCAGGTGGACATAGTCCGGCAAAAATAGAGAAACTATACAGATCAGAGGTTCAAGAAGGCTAACGTTTAGACTAAGCATATCTGAGATTACACCTAAATGAATAAGAAAAGTACATTTAGTAAGTGGTCTGATCTTGTTTTCGCAACTTGGTGGTGTCGTCAGGGCGACCTAGTTGGACGCACCTTGCCTGAGGTCCTCTGCTATGTTAGTTAGTTATCGTGATTCACAGCGTTGGACCGCGGACTTGGTACATTCTCAGACATTTCGTCGACACCATAGTCGGATGAGAATGGCAAGGCTCATTGACGATGCAGGCGAAACATCAGGGAATTACCATAATTCCGGACTAGATGTGTCCAACTAGGTCACTCTGACAACACAAACAAGTTGTGAAGACGAGGTCAGATCACTTATATACATCGAAAAAGGACTGCGATCAAATAGAGGCTACCAAATCTTGGACTTCATATCTAAGTTTACATTTAATAAGTTACAACGGTCAAAAAGTAAAAAAGTAAAAGTCATAAATGGTGGAATAAATTGCTATAAAAGAGCCTTGTAATAGTGAGCAATCAATATAAGGTGAATTTAATTAAAATTGCACAAAATTGACACAAACCGTTGCCAAGCTTCTTATGGGCTTTCAATCAGTGCCTAATAATCAGAGAAATAAACAAACGTTTAATGAGTTCAATAGCGCTTTTAACCAACCACCTTAAAAAAAGACTTGGGGATCGAAATAAATAATAGTCATAACTTTGAGATATAAAAACTTATGGAGATGGTTTGAACAAAAGTTTGTAGATGAGATAGAGCTGCTATAGTTTTGTAAGTCGTACAAAATGGAGATTGCGCGATTGATGTAAAGAAGACAAATGACGATGAAGGATGT